AATAACTCAATCTATAAGCTAAGGCTAAAATATCGGTTATGTTGATATTGTTTGTATTAAATAATACAAACATAACCGCTACTTTTAAAACCAGTATTGCGTGATCTCAATATCAATACGTAAGGTATCGCAGCGATACCAGACGATAAACCAAGACTTAATTCCAATTATCTAGTGTCTAATTTTATTATTAAAATAAAATGGTGCGTAATTTATGTTAATAAAGAAAAAAAGACAATACAAAGCAAATAAGTTTTGCATAAAATGTATGCATTATTGTTGTTGAAATGGAAGAAAATGTTTTTTTTTATTCATTTATTAATTTACTTATTTCGCTCTTTGAATAAACTTTACAATGTTTTTACAACGTAACAATATTAATTTTTGAAAAAATCCGACTGGAGCTAGTAGAAGACATGGTACTATTGTCGGACCCCGTTGTTACAAATTTAGATATAATCTTGTCTTTAATACACTAATACACATTCCACATAGTTCCACAATCGTTGTGCTCGGTAAGATATTGAGAAATCAGCTTGATTTAATAAAGTTTAAGGTATGACAGAGTTGTAAACTGAGTACTTAGTTTGGTATTCGAGGTCTATAGAAATAAATTGATATTGTAAAGTGTTTGGTATGAGATTCTTTAACTTTAACATAAAAAGTAGTATGTCAACAATATTTACTTTAAAGATATTAATTACTCTAAGATCTTTTACAGTGGTCGGCCATCACATTAGGACCACACGTTTTTTTTACAATTTATTTCAAATATATTGCATATGAGAAAATAAGTATGACTTTTTTTTGTTACATGTCAAGTTATTTCTATTCTTAGTAATATTTAATAAAAATTTTATCAATTGGCAACTCTGGCTGTCAGCAATCACCTGTCAAAGTCAAATTGGTGCATATTGGACAATTTAAGGTTATTTTTAGTTGTTAGTTTGATTAAAGTTTAAATATGACTTATTTTAATTTCAAGCATTTGTGCGTTATTAAATTTTTTTTTTTTTTTTAAACTTAATAATAATCAGTAAGTAATTAATTTTAAATAAAGGATTTTATGTTTTTTTTTTTTTTCTGTTTATGTAAAGACACCAAAGTGTAGTCTTTTTTAAAGTTCTTTATTTAAATTTTCAGCTATGGGTAAAAAATGTGATATGACACCAAGCATCTGTGCTTTATTTAATTTTTTTTTTTTTTTGAACTTAATAATAATCAGTAAGTAATTAATTTTAAATAAAATATGCTATGGGTAAAAAATGTATGACACCAACAAAAGTTAGTCAAACTAGATGTCTTTTACAGAATACAAAATATTCTCAGCGAAAAGTTGCACAAATTGTAAAGGTTTCTCACCAAACCGTAATTCAAGTGAGAAAAAAAAATTGATATAGGAAAGAGTTTGGTCCAAGGAGACCACCTCTCAACAAAAGACAACACCAAGAGCGGATCGTATTATCTGGAATATATGCATGGAAAATAGAAAAAAGCCACAAAATGTATTGACTAAGCTTATCCATGAAGCTGGTATTGTTGTGTCAGACCGGACCATTCGCAGAAGGCTGAAGGAAGAGGGATTGATGTGTCATCGTCCAGCCAAGAAACCAAAACTGATTTCACTCATGAAAAAAAAGAGACTGGAGTGGGCTCGAAACTATCGTCACTGGTCTGTTGAGGATTGGGAAAAAGGATTTTTTTTTGCATTCATATTCATAAACTAAAATATAAAGAAGTTCTAGAGATTGGTCTAAAAATGTTAAAAAAATTCAAAAGAAGTCCAAAAATGTCAAAAATTTTATACTTAGGCAAGATGGTGCAACTTGCCACACAGAAAAAAGTGTTTTGGTTTTTTTAAAACAGAAAAAAGTAGACGTATTGCCATGGCCAGGCAACTCACCTGATCTTAACCCCATAGAAAACAATTGGGAAATAGTAAAGCGCGATATTAAAAAAAAATTCTTACTGACAAGCAAGATCTTATGGAATATATTATCAGGATCTGGCGCAATAACACAGAGTTGACAGAAACTATAAAAAATTCAATTGCAAGCATGACGAATTGAAGTAGTTATTGCAAATAAAGGCGGTTTTACAAAATATTAATACTTAATATATATTTTATATAATTTATTGTAATAACCAATAAATATTCAAAATGTTTAATTTTATTTGTTTATTTTTCATCAAGTATAAACTTATAAATAAAAGTACAAGCTTTGAATTACACCATTACTTTTCTTTTTGCCAAAAAATTTATTTTTACACGATATTTACAAAAAATTACAGCTGGTCCTAATGTGATGTCCGACCACTGTAGTAGAGGTTTGGCACTGATGTATCTGTTTGCCTTTAATACTAAGCGACATGCATGTTGTTTTTTTTATATAAATTGCATTTATCTTTGTTGGATAAAGTAATCGTGCGGGCTGTTCTAAAGTAATTGATGCAGCTGTAAATAAAAAAAAAGAGAAATTAATATTTTTTAAACAATTTGTATTAAGAAAATGCTTTCTTTTATACATAATTTCAATAATTTTAGATGATACTTAACAATATTTCACAAAATTTCTCTTCTCTAGTGGGAATTAGAAACAACTTTAAAGAACTTTTCACATTAAAAAATAAATTTTCAATTTTATTAATTTATTTTCATAAATATAGTTTAGTTACTTTTATTCTCTTCTTTAACAGTTTATATTATCCGAGAATTCTTTTTTTCTGTCGGAATTTATTTACTACAGTTTCGCTAATGTTATTAACTTATAGTTTAGAAAATTTGTTAATAAAAATTGCTTAATTTTTTTTAATACGTGTAAAAATCCTAAATGCTCAACACTGCGCTCAAACGCTTATGGTACACGTATACGTATACGTGTGCATGAATACAATTCTGTGCAATTACCTTGTGCATGAGTAGAAATCAGTAAAAAATGCGACAACTACTACTTTTTGAGTAAATAGAAACAAACCAGAGTTAGTAATTGGAAACTGTATTGAACCAATACTGGCTAATAATAGCATGCTAATATTGTTAATAATAGGAATTTGGTAATGTACACAAAATAATTGCGTAATTTTAGGGCATTATTGGGAAACTTGTGCCACAATTTGCAATTTTGAAACAATATTGGAAAAAAATAATAATCAACAATATAATGCCAATATATAATGGCATTTCAACATTTGACAAACAATACTCGCACTATATAGCCACATTAAAAGAAATAATATTCGTTTGCTAATATTAGCGCAACACTAACTGTCAATATTAGCACACTAGCTTTTCGGTAATATTGTCATGTGGCAATATTGTCGTTTGCCAATATCGGCGCAATATATTTAATTCATTATTTAAAGAATGAGATCGAAAAAAATTAGAACAATTTTTTCTTTCAAAAACTTTCAAAATAATTTTTTACAAATTTCTTTAATTTTTTATTTAAAGTTAAAAAAATAAAGAGAATAAAATTAGTTTTACTTTCATAATTTTTATTTTTATTTCTACAAAAAAAAATCGTCCATTACTAGAGATGGTGCTCATTAATTTCTACATAACTGTTATTGTCATTCTCTTGCTTATAATTGACCACGCCTTTTTATGGTTGACCACACCTTTAACAAGATCTAACATGCGATTGAATAATTGGTAAAAGTCACTTTTGTAGGTTCTCTTGAATATAAATTTCTGATGTCAAGGTTGATGACGTTACAAAAGCTTTATCTTTTTTTTACACAACTACAAATTACTTGCTATAAGAACATTTTTGCCATATTTGTCCACAAGTTTGTGTTTATACGCGTTGTTTACACTGCCACAAACATGTAGTAACATATATAGTATAATATTTTTAATCAGGAAGTTGACTAAAGTCACAATTTATGTAAGTCTCGTTGTCCATTAAAATACAGCCATTCAACTTTATAAAAACTTGGGTGTAAAGTTTTCGTGCTTGTATTTAGACAGTGGAATTTTTTTTGTCAGATCAATTAGGATATTTAATTGCTCAGAAAGACTTGCAGTTGTAGTATTTCTTCACTTTCCTTACCAAAAAATCAGAAACTTTGTACTTTTTAGCTCATTGTCTGTTAGACAAGCCTGAATTTCTTTCAAAAGAACAGCGAATCTTATTTACCACTGATTTATTGTTAAACAGTTTTTTTTTCTTCCTGATTCTTTACCACCCACGGTCGTTTGTAAAAGGAAAGTTATTATACGCATGCGCAGTGGAATTACATATCATGAAAGTTTTTTAAAATGGCTATGGTAACAGCATCATAAAAACTAATCATTGACAACGAGTAATTTGTTGAAGTTTAGATAATTAAATAGGTTTTTAACTAGTTTTTTCATGAAATTATTTTAAAAATAGCTTGTGGCTGTACGAAGAAATTTTTTAAATAAAATATAAGACCTCTGAATGTGAACAATATCTACTAAGTAGATATTGTTCACATTCAGAGGTCTTATATTTTATTTAACAATAATAACAACAACTTGTTGTTATTATTATTATTATTATTATTATTGCTATTATTATTATTATTAAATCACCTTTCTAATTTATTAAGATGCCTTAGGATATTTGTTGGCAAATGTTCTATGTAGCCCCAAGGTGCCAATTTAATTTCAAAGGTACCTTTTACTTCTTTTTGAAATGCAAATGGAGCATTTTCAACTATGATATCGTCTCCTAATAAACTTTCAAAAAGTAGCCTTTGTGAAGCATGTGAGGCTATTTTAATATCGAATGTCTTTAACCACCTGTCAATATATATATATATATATATATATATATATATATATATATATATATATATATATATATATATATATATATATATATATATATATATATATATATATATATATATATATATATATATATATATATATATATATATATATATATATATATATATATATATATATACATATTATTTGGCCAACGCCCTCCAATGATACTTCCAAAACCATTAAGAACTGCTGTTTTTTGATCAGGATCCAATATCATGTCTCCTTCAAAAAGGTCTTTGTCTAAAAACAAAAAGTCATTTTACATTATCAATATCAGTAATTTATGTTTAATTTTTTAAACATAACTTGGATCTTGGATAGCATACTAAAACATAAACTTGTATATAAAAAGTTATCAAACATAAAGACAAAAAATATCAATGAAAAACTTCAACATATAAAACATTGATGCAACAAAAATAACATTTAAGCTAGTATTTTGAACATCACCCTCAAGCTTTTTTGCAAGCAGAACTTTTTTTTTTGCATCGATTTTACAAGACGGTTGCAGATTTCGTTTCGAACTCCTCTCCATATGTTATCTAGTTCTTGCTTTAGGCTATTTATGGATCTTATTCGCACCTTGACTAATTCTTCGTCCATCTAATTCCAAATAGATTCGATTAAATTCAAATCTAATAATCAAGCTGGCCGGGGCATTAAATCTACTCTATCTTCTTTTCATCCATGCTTTTACTGTACGAGCTATGTGAGCAGGCGCCAAATCTTGTTGAAATTGCCACCATTTGTTTCGATCATTCAGCATGTTCTATAAAACCATGCAGTTTTCAAGAGTCTTTGTATATGTATATTGGTTGATTGGACCCCTCCATAAAATAAAGTAGCCATCACTGCCACTTCTTTGCAACCTCGGTACAACAAAGCAATTACTATACTTTTCCGATTTAAATCTTTTAGCAAAAACTTTGCTTTTTTAATTTATTACTTCAAAGTTTCATAAATAAAAATTACTTGCTTCCATTTCTTCAAAGACCACCCAGTTATCCTTACTTCACCTAAATCTTATGAGTCTATGTTTTCTAACAGCTGCATAGACACCAACTTTTTTCCTTAGTAAAATGTTTCTCTCTGTATTTGACGAAATATATTTTTCACGGTTTTCGTTGACCGTGTCGGTGAGTTCACGATAACTTAACATCACGTTGGCTCTTACTTGACGAAATATAAGACTATATTCACGTTCAGTAGTTTTTTTTAACCTTCCTGTTCCTGCATTGCGTTGGACGTCACCTTTTGTTTTAAATGTCTTTAGAGTATATCTGATACAATTCTCTAAACTTTTTAATCTTCTTGCTATTTCTCTATTACTGATCATTGAGCCCTCCTTCATACCTATTATTTGCCACTTTATTGCTTTGCTTACTACTTTTCGACTCATTTCTATGTACACTTACTTTTAGGTCTTATCAAATTATTTAAAAAAGCTTTAAACGTGACTAAACTGGTCACCATAAGTAATTTTATTAAATATTTTATGAGATATTGTCTAACTAAGATATAAGCTAATAAAATAGTTATGAATAATAGTTGGGTTGACATGAAATTAGAACGAAAGACAATTAAAAAGTTTGTGCATCTATTTTTTTTTACAAAAATCCGGATTGTTTTTTAAATTCCTTTGAAAAAAGTAAATCATTAAAAAAAAGTAACTGTATATGAACTTGTTAGTGACATGTTAGTTTAAGAGAAATAATATTCCTGTCGATAAAAAAAAATTAAATTTTCAGGAAAAAAGGATCGGATTTTACGATGTTTTGAAAAAAAGTGTACTTTAAATTTTTACTGTGCCTATTTTTTTTGAAATTATATATATATATATATATATATATATATATATATATATATATATATATATATATATATATATATATATATATATATATATATATATATATACTATAGGTATACATGATACGAAAAACTACACATAGTTTTACCATAATATAATTACTCGTAATAGTTTAATATCATATAGAAATATTGTTAAACAAAACATAATACTGATTTTATTTTCTATAAAAAAGACTTCAAAACATAACACTGAGGTTGAGTTGTTGATATTATTGGCTTAACTAATTGAGTTTGTAATTAATTATTGCAATATTTCCCTAGAAAGTAGATATTGTTCTTATTATGAAGAATATTTATTATGTATGTATATATATATATATATATATATATATATATATATATATATATATATATATATATATATATACTATAGATTTAGCTGAGGCACCGAGACTATATGCGTTACCCAGTGGGCACAGGACGTAAAAACGACGTCTTTTAAACGTCTTATGAACATTTTGAATTTTTGCTGAACGTTTTGGACGTTTTTTAAACGTTCAAAAGACGTCTTTTTAGGTCCTGTGCCCACTTTGTATTATTATATGTATTAATTAAGAAAAAAATTACCTTCCATTTCTGGAACCCAGTGTGATGTGACATAGCTTATGCAGTACAATAAACCTAAACTTGATAACGACAACATGGTGAGTTCTATTTTAAAAAATTAAAATGTTGGAGAGGGACTTTATAGAGATTTATTTAGTAACCAAATACAGTTGAATAAATATTTTTGTTATTAGGAAAGCTAATTTAACAAAAAATGCTAGAAATACTTCTAATCCAATAGTTTTACAAAAACATCAGTAAATAGATATATTTAATATGTTTTTGTAAATAATAATGGCGAAATATTGGCAAATATATATGTTGGTCTTAATTTGAAAAAAGTTCTTAGCAAAAGTATAATTTAATAAGTATAACTTAATTAATAATTTAAGTATAATTTAAAAAATAATAATTTTATTTAATAAGTTTTTTTACCACATAAATTTGAACGCAACGACTGTTTATATTTCATTTATTATTGTTCAAATTTTGAAATCTGAAACCATTTATACCTAATTTATTTATACCTTATTTTAAGTGAAAATGCTGTAAAAATGAAACTGTATAACGCAATTTTTTTTTCCTATTTTTTAAACAATCATTTACACCCCTTGAGACAGCTTTTACACACTTAAATCACGCCTTGAGACAATCTAAACTTTTAAAAAATTCATCCGAGGTATGATTATTTACCAGAACTTGTTAAATATAAAGATAAAGTCGTGAGTATTTTTGGCATATTAATAATATAATCGTAAGTATTTTCGGCATATGCTGTGCGGTGCAAATTTATAACCTCACCAAAAATTCAATATCTCACAAATAATTAAGTAATTACTAAATTATTCAATTGCTTAATATATTACTTGATTAATATTTCTTTTGTAATAGAGTCTGGTTTCATTTTGTTAGTTGATTTGAAAAATTTAGAAAAATGATGGTGCGAAATTATTACATAATTTCAATTTTAGCCAACAAAACTACATAATGTTTTATTCTGCAATTTGAATTTATTATTAATACTTTGTATTAATAATAAATTCTTTGTACATTCTGAACAACTTTTAATTTTCGATTTGGCATACTTTTCAAATGTTTTCTAAGATCTGCAAGAGTTATGCTCCTCCAAACATGAACAAATACCTTTTTCAATTCAACAATATTCGAATATTGTTTCCTTTCTGCGTAAACACGTCTTGTTAAGATGCCCCATACGTTTTCGCTGGGATTTAAATCAGGTTAGAGCGCTGGTCATTCTAATATTTAAATTTTCTTGCTGGTAAACGATGAGATATTTGACTTTGCTCTATAAGTTGAAGGATTATCTTGCTGGAAAATAAAATTGATGATATCAAATTTTTGCGAAATATCATTCAAATAACAATTCAACAAATTTCTATATTCTTTAGCATTTAATTTAGTTGTAGTAAAGCCAATTGAAGTTTTTTGCAAAATGACCAAACGCATCCCAAATCATCACTACTCTGTCTCCCATAGCCTTTTCTTTTGAAAATATTTTCTCTTTTTTATTGTTATGTCAGTAGTAATTTGGACCACCAAGGTTGAACATTTTTTTATCGGACCACACAATTTTTTGCCATTCTTTTTCCCAAGTCATATAGTTTTAGGCCCATTGAAGACGAATGCGTTTGTGCGCTTCAGTTAGTGCTGGATATTTGCGTTTTTGTGTATATCTAAGAACGCCTGATTTGTTAATTGCATAATTAACCTTCCATCTTGAGAAATATATTTACCGAAACACCATTTAGACTACTCTGGACTGCATTTTAACTAATTTATAGAGTTCCTTAGTTGATTATTTGCATTTTTTTTTAAGTTAAACTCTATTTGTTGCTAACATATACTAGGTGCTAAATTAATTGGCCATTATTGAGTTTACTTTTTTTATTGTATATTTTAGGTTTCTCCAATATAAAATGTGGTGATGAATCTCCCATTATAATTTAATGCATATGTGTCGGGACCCTTGAAGAAAAATCCCATAATCTCTTTTAAAACTTTAAAAATAGCGATTTCCCATAGCTATACTCAGATAGAGTTTGTAAATTAAATTAACTTTAAATTTGTAAAATAAATTGTCATTACATTATAATATAGCGTTCGTAACAATAATAAGTTTTTGTAACTATCTAAATTTTGGTTTTGATTATATTATATCGAACGTAAAAAAATACAAAGTGAAGTACAAAGTTAAAACCTGATCACATTTAGTTTTTTGTCTATTACCCGACACATAATTAGATTCTGAGCTGAAAAGCTTAGAAAAATTCTGAGATTTTAAAACTGAGATTTGAAAATAAAAAAGGATATATTGCAAGAAGAATGACGTTACAGAATTTATTTAAAACCAACCCGGAATATGTTTGTCTGAAATTAAATTAAGTTTTTTAAAAAGCTTATTTAAGGAAAGTTACAAATAAACTAGAATATAAAAATTTAAATGTAAGCCGATAAAAGGGAGTTTCAGTTAATTATCTAAACTTTGGAATGATCAATGATGAAATAAATAACAGTGCCTAAATTTCTGCTTTTTGTGCAACTTTTACTGAGTACGAGTTAAAAATAAAAGAAGTAAAAAGTACATACAGTTTTCATTTGGAATAAATAGAAATCAAATATAATCCAAAAAGACTTAATCAAGTGTTTGACTGTTTTATTTATAAAATATAATTTACTAACTTCATGGTTGAGCATGAAGTTATTTTCTTTTCATCGGGTAGTTAGTAGTAAAAAAACACAAAAAAGTAAAAAAAACTTTATTTTTTATGTCAAATAATAAAGGAAACAACTTTTCTTCTTTATTTTATGCAGAACTGAAAATTTTTATGAAAACTCAACTATATTAACAAACAATAAAAGATTGAGACTTTCATGACAAAGACAAAAATGTTAGCTTCAGCGCCTGTATCTATTGCCAGCAATTAAAAAAACAAATAGCAAATTAAAAGTTCTTAAAAATAATTTGAATTTAGCTATGTTGGGTCCTTGATTAGATTTATTTATTTTGTTGTATCAGAAAATTATTTAATGAACCGCTGAGATTTCGACCAGTATATGAAAAAGTGGACTATACCCTACGGGCATTTGTTTTTGAAAGTTACGATCTAAATGTCTTTTAAACGTTATTTAAACGTCTTGTAAACGTTCTTTACGTAAGAATGTTTAGAAGACGTTTAAAAGACATTCAAAACACAATTAGAACGTAACTTTTAAAAACGAATAGCAAAGCAAATGCATGTTCAAATAAAATAACTAATTATGCAGTTGTGCTTTTAGAATATTTTTATATATTTTACTTTTTGGTTATTTGCATTTTAATTAGTATAGTTAGTATAATATATTTTGCTGTTCATATAGAAATAAATGATAAAATAACAATGAAACTTTTGCGTTAAACAAAGAATATATTTAAAACAGACAGGTACTTAAAGAAGATACGAATGACAGATTGTACCACAATCTTTACATAGAGCATCTTTAAAAATAACAGATGCAATTTCAATTTTTGTTTAAATGAAAAGCTTTTAAATTTTTTATTCTTTTTTTATCAATTGATTAAGGTATTAGGTAATAATATTTGGTATTCAATATTTCTAAGTGTTTACCAATGATATTACTGCTAAAAACTGTTAAAATTTTTAATTTTATTGTGTAATATTATTGATAGATAATTATTTTTGCTGCTGTAGTGCCACTGTCAATGTTACCCTCTATGTGGAGTAACTTTGACAATAGAATGTTACCCTCTATGTGGAGTAACTTTGACAATAGAATGTTTTATGCTTTAAATATTAAAAAACCTTATAAAGGTAACATGATGATTGGGTAAGATGATAATTGGAATTTTGTCATATAAAATCGAGGAAAAATTTAAAATATATACTATCACCAACCTACTGTTTCTTATTAAAAGTTACTACTTTTAAAAAAATATATATAATTTATAAAAGATATTAAAAGATATCAAATAGATTCAGTTTTGATATTTTTTACTTGAATATATAAAAAAGTAAGTTATTTTTTTCAGGTTTGCTTTTTTTTTGACTCCATTTAATTTAATCTTGCAGAGATTCATCAGATGTCAAACATTCCGCCAATGTTCTTTTGATTTTTTTTCTTTTTTCGTTGCTTTTTATAGGTTGCGTAAGTCGAAGATGTTTTAAAAGGACCGTTTTTAGTTATTTTCTTGGAGTCAGAACATCCTGTATTTCATCTGAGCAATCATGTTGTGACTTGCATTGGTACGAAGCTTATATTTTTTATGTCACTGATTGCCGGTGTAATCTTATTTCGATTTTCGTTATTACTTGAACTAACAAATACACCCGATGTCAGAGGCTCTGCCGTTAACTATTTCTCACTGGTTATTTTACTTTGATTTAGGGGGAAAATTCCACAAGTTTCAAAAGCCATTGTAGCATTGCTTCGATTGCCCCACTGTCTGTAACCAATTTCAGAAATTGTGAAAAAGTTACTTTATCAATATTTTTGTATCGTATTAAATCATAAAAGTTTTTCAAACAGTTGCTCCAAGATGCTTTGACTGTCTTGAAAACACATACATCAAAAGGCTGTAAAATACTACTTGTATGGGCAGCTAAACAAAGTAGTTCAATGTTATTTGCAATAGCAAAGTCTAAAACAGTTTTTGATATGTGAAAGTTTTGTCCGTCAACTATTTGAAGCTTTGATTCTGGCTTGCTTCGGCGGTAAATATCTTTTTAAACCATTCAATGAATTGGGGGGATTCCTTTCAACCTGAAGGTAAACATTGTAACGTGCATTATTCATTTTAAGAAACTTTAAACACTTAATTGATATAAAAATTAGGATTTGTTTGTTTTTTAACATGATACCAAGATTCATATTAAAAAGATATCAAAGAAGAAAAAAAAAAATTTTGTTGTTAGGTGCAACAAAAGTTTGCCATTTCAATCCTCCACGATCAAAATTAAATAGGTATTCACATTCTAAAGCTAGATCAAGTTCTAATAAATGTTCTGATACAAGTTCTTTTTTGAAAAGCTCACAAAGTTTTTTCTATGTATTAGCTTAAAAGCAACATACTCACCGATTTGCACAAGAGAGTTGCTTTCAAAAGAAGAAACATGTATATTATCTGA